ATTCTTCGTACCGCGAGGGGTCATTTGACCCCTTATGGTAACATAGGTATATGCAAAATGCCGGTACGTTTAGTATTAAATACAGTTTCAATTATAGAACTAGAAATTTTCGTTTGTATTCACTTGGTATTGTTATGCATAAATAATGAAGCTCTCTCTCTCTGCTTTGTTTTTCAAATTTGTAAAAAAAAAGAGAAGAAAACATAGTGTTAGAATAGTAAATGAATTTAGACTAAGAATTAATAAAGACTAAGAATTAGTAAATGGCTATAACAATTTACTAATAGAATTGCCAAAGATTTAGGATATTTAATATAAAATTCTACGTGATAGTGATCGGCAGAAAATGTCACCCCTTATGGTAACATAGGTATATGTAAACTGGTACGTTTAGTGTTAAATACCTTTATCAATAATTGGAAATTACTAATATAAATAAACTAGAAATTATTGTACCAATCTGAATATTAAATACTTGATCAAGAATTACCAAAATGCAAAGTAAGATAATTTGAACGAGATGAAATCTCTGAATAAATGACAAGTTAAATAAGTTTTATTGATAATTATTGATTTATTGACAATTGCAAAGAATCGTTACTCGCATGGTTTAAATTAATAAGAATTGTTATGTACGCATTAATATATATATATATATATTGTTAGTATAAAACGTGAACAGAATATTATTCCAGTAAAGTTGATTGATAAACTTTGGATTAAGGTTAAGCTAAACTTTAGGTTAAGTAATACGTTATGGGATACAGATAACGCGAAGAAGTAGTTGTTCACGAAGCCATAGTGCTTGTTGCATCATGAAACGAACGTAAGAAAATACGCATAATTCAATACTTTCATATGTATATACGTCCTGTGTCAAGTTTGCTTGTTACATAAATCGTACGCGTGTTAACATTGGCTGTCCTTTCCGCGAGTACAAGGTGACAAGTAAACAGATTCAATTGCAAATACACTATACTTCGTATTTGTTAAAAAAAAAAAAAAAAAAAGAATAAACAGAATAACTTTTGTCTCTGTAATCGCGAAATATAAATTCCATAGTTCGTAGAATCACTTCTTTCCGCAAGAAGTGAATTTAGAAATTCTAAAATTCTGTCTCGTCATTCGTAGAAAAATAATGATTTGTGAGCGATCAGGTTTATACTACACTATATACTATACTATATACTATACTATATTTCACTTGGTGCAGTATTCCCTTCCGTATGTTGTAGTATCATAGTTTATCTGTTGTGTGCACAGTACGTGACTCGAATAACAAGCTTATATTCTTCATAAATTGAGCTACAATGGAAATCCTGAAATTCTAAGATGAAGAGAGAAAACGAGCAAACAAACGTTTATAATTCGCAATTATAAGTTATTATTTTTACAATCGAATGAACTGCTAAAGCTTCTAAAGTGTTGGATAATAAAATACGGACTCAGAGGCGATTAAATCTAGTTTAGGTTAGGTTTAGGTTACTAGGTTAGGTTAGGTTTAGCTACTGATGACCATTGTTTACTAGGTTAGGTTTAGCTACTAACGACCATTGTTTCCATTTTTACAAATATTTTGAGGCAAATTGAAATAATTAAAACAACACGAGTAATAATTGAAACAACAAAGAGAACTTTAAATAACATAAATATGCTTTCGTCGTAGTTTATTGTAATATAGTATCTTGTAGAAATTGAAATGTTCTACAAGTTGAATTAACTTGTAGAAGCTAAATGGCAATCAACGTGTTAGCATATCATGTGATAAACATTCACTGGAATTATAAATTATTATTTATAATAATTGTACAATTATTATATTATTATATAAATAATTATATATATAAATAATATTATTATAAATAATTGTACAATTTTATCAATACAACAATCGAAGCTTCATCCAAACTCGAACTTTAATTTTTTACAACGAGTATAAATAATACGAGCATTCTTGCTGAAATTAATATTAATTTCTATTTGGACAGAAACATAATTGTATAAATCTTATTTTAATTATTTCAATTATCATTCGAATTATAATGATTTATGCGTAAATAGGATATTTCGATCGATGGTCGTTCAAAAATGTCAATAGATATTTTCATTCATTTATTTATATTAATATT